CAAATTCAAGTTTCTCTGATAGTTACCAAACAGTTGTAATTTTATATTTCTTCCCATGTCAATTCTAATGTTTTACTCATCTTAGAAGTTTCTCATTTTTGTCTAAATTTTCAAATTCTCCAGAGGTGTTGTTCTATCTTAATATTTATTCAGGTTCATCTATATATTTATAATTTTTTCTTGTTTTTTCACCCCTGTATCTCTGAGCTTCAATCTGAGATCAATGTCCTTTTGCCTGAAGAACACTGTTTGGTGTTTATTTTAATATGGTGTGCTATTGATATATTCAGTTTCTGAGTGTCTGGAAATATCTCTTTTTTTAACCTTCATTATCAAAATATATAGTAGGAAGAGTAAGGACATTCTGTAAATAAACGAAAGTTTGGAAGTGATAAGGATAAATGAAAGATTATAACAATTTAGAGCAATGGTTCTAAACACAATGCATGTTAGAATTTTTAAAATTTCTGAAGTGCACCCCTATCCCAAACCAATTAAACCAGAATTTCTCGAGGTAGAGAATGAGAATGAGTGTTTTTCAGCTCACAAGAAGTTCTAATGTCCAGTGATCATTAAAAACCACCAGTCAAGAGACGGAAGAAGGAAATTACTTTTAATGGGGAAACTAAACTGTCTAGTTTGAGTCTAGTCAGTTTTTCTATCTTTCACAACTTCTAGCAGATTACTTTGCAAACAGAAAATAATTACCTGTTTACCGAATGCATGAATGAATGAATGAATGGTGTGTGATGTCTCGCAAACAAAATCATATTAAAGACACCATGCATAGCCCTCAGGTCCTTGTCTCTCTCCTGCTTAACATTCTCTAAAGTATACTTCTTGTGTGTCTATTAATTCTGCTCAGCGTAGTGAAAATATAAGTGAGTATAATGCTCTCAGCATTAGCCTTCTCATCAATAACTCACCACATAACATAACTTGATATAAAATTATTCCTGGTTTTAAAAATAACATCTAAGAAACAGCATCCTCAGCCATGGAAGCAATGACTAATAAACTCACATCCTTTAAGGCAGAGATCTAAAATCTAAAGGAGGGAACTGCAAAAAGAAAGCCAAGTCCATTCATGACATTGGACTCCTGAGCTACTTATCTTGTTGTCATAGGTTCTTTGATATATCAACATACTTCTAAATCAATCTTCTAAAACCCCAGTATGCAATGATAAAAAAATCTGTGCTTAAACTGTTCTATAATTGCAGAATGACTTTGAAAGAAGTTTGACAATAATATATCTAACTGATATATAAAATCCCTTTGAAAAGTTTGACAAGAATGTCTAATTGATATTAATACTAGCATTTCTAAGTTCATGTCTAGAAAAGTTAAGCGCTGTCCAATTAGAGTATACTGTAAATGTTAAGATTTCTTATGACTTATAATTATAAATCAGCTTTGTTCAAGGATTTTAAATATTGCAAAGCAAAAATTTTCCAGTATCTTTGTCAAATTAACCCTCAGATTGTGGCTCCCGAGATAAGAATCATGTAGTCCTCATCCCCTATCCTACAATTTTTCGTATCAGGGAATGACTAAAAACAGGCCACTTGGTCTGCTCTTGTGGACACAAGTTATTCCCTGAGTATTCAAAAATATTAATGTGAGGGATAAAGAAGAAGAAAAAGCACAGTATGGTATTTAGGAGAAAAGGTGGTAAAAAGTGACCTGATAGGAAAAATTCATACTCTTGCCTCTTTTGCCTGCCCCCACCCTACTTAAAACCGCTTGTATTAAAGGTTCAAGTAGCTTTAAAAAGCTTTAAGTAGTTTCAAGGTCTTCCTTTTTTTCTGAATGTACCTGGGTGAAAATCTATTGGTGAGAGTCTCACCATATCCCAACTTAGATGTAATCCTGTGCTATTCTCCCATGTCTTTCCTCCTTCCTTCCCTGCTCAACCAAGATCCTTCTTCCCTTCCTGCCTTCCCAACAGATGTTTTGAAAGCTCAGCTTCCTTAAAGTCTTCTGAGAAAGGTCTCCCCATATTGTGTATCCTGTATAGGAGAACTCCCTCTCCTCCTCACTCCTTCCTATTAGTTGCTAAGAATTCTATACGGTTTTAGTGGAATGTGTATCATATTTGTGGTTCTACCACCTCCGTTTAAGAAACTCTATTTGGATGTAGTCATTTATCCATGGTTAAATGATAGGCTTCATGAAAATGAGGACTGAGTCTCTTAGTGTACTTTCCCCAACCAAGAATAAGAGAGTGAACATTTATTTGGTTCTCTTACCTCAAATTATATTCACGATTACCAAGGGAAGAGCTAAGAGAATCTAGACTTCTTAAGGGCGGGGAGTTCAACTATTACTGAGCAGGTATTTAATATAGGTTGACCTGGACCAAACGCCTACTCTCACTGCATAGCTCTATAAACTGCAAAAATCACATAGTTTTGACGTATTGAATTGACTGTTTTCTCCCCTCCCCAACTCCCTGATGTTGCTTTTTTAAAAAAAAATAGATGAAAATTTTTTATATAATATGTAGAAAGGCAGGGGAGGGAAATAGCTCAGTGGCAGAGTGCATGCTTAGCACGCATGAGGTCCTAGGTCCAATCCCTGGACACCCCATTAAAAAAAAAAAAAAGAAGTTTTTAAAAACTATGTATGAAACATTTTTTTTAATTTTAAATAAAACAAATAGATGGAATAAGAAGTACCTTTCTCCTTTAAAAATGAAGGAAATATGGTTCATTTTGTTAAGAATTTTCCACGGAGCAAGGCCTATTGTGTGATTAGGATGGGTATGAGGCAAGGCTGTCTCTTCTTGTACTTACATTTAGACAAGTATATATATTCATTGATATATATTTTGATATCAGTATATATTTATAAAATAAATATTTAAATATTTAGTTATTTAGACTTCTGACTTGATCACCAAATGAGGTACAGATATTGTAATATTGCATTTAAAGTGTTGTTTAAAATAAACACTTGAAATTCTACCAATTTTGTGAGCTCTTTGGTTATTTCTTCATTTTGTAATATACTAGAAGCCTCACAAAATGGAAGTAGTCTAAGAGTTCCTAAGTCCTGAGAGGTTGTTTCATGGTGCTATTTTATACATCTAAAACTAAGTAAATGTTAATAATGAAAATGGCATTTTCCATATTAAGTGGTGAAAGTTAAAGTGACGTACCCTATTTCACTCTTAAGAGATAAACAATCACCATAAATATGAATAAAACTTGCATTTTAAAATCTTGCAAGGGAATCAGATCTATTTTCCTCCTGTTTCCAAGCCCTCAATAATACTTTTCATGTGTTTGTATTCACTAAGAAAGGGACATTTCTGTGGAATTAATCAAATGGGGAATTCAGTATTCCTGGCAGATAATTTTGGCATGTTCCATTGGGAACTTTCTAATTGAATTTTCATCTTTCCTGGGAAAAGATGCACATGTTCCAAACCCTCAGTCTTTTCTCTGTTAGTGAAGATCTGCTATAAACAGAATTAATAACAATGTATATTCATCAAGACACTCAGCTGGAATAAAAGAAGGCAAAATGCTTAGAAATACAATTTGAACGTAGTAAATGAAAACTAGCATTAAAAACGCTATAAAAAGCATTACAATAATTGATTTTCTGATTTTGGTAAAATTTAAAAAAAAACAAATTTCTGAGATGGAGAATTGGAAATATTCATAGTTCCTAATATATTTATTTTCCAAGAAAATCTGCTGATTTGGTGACCATGAAAACTCATGTTCAATGCCTAAGTAAACCTTTTTGAAATCCATGTGTCCTTTAATGGTTTTTCTAAATGTATAAAATAACTAGAATTCTTATATGGGCTTTGGCTTTATGTTTCATATCAGTTGTTCATCCTGTAAGACGCTGCTGCTGCTATTCTTTATGTGTACACATTAGTTTGCCCCTAAAGCCTGAAGAAGCCTGTCTCTCTTTCCTACCATTGATGATTCTAACTGCAGGTCTGCAGCTGGATAATTGCTCAACAGCAGTCTCAAAGACTGAGCACTTTGACTGAATCCTCCCTGCTGCATTTTATTTAACCAGGTAGGTGTAGGGCATTTAAATAGAGATGACCAGGAGGCAAATGATGAACAGGCTAAAGCTGGAGATTTTGGAGTCAACAGGATATTTGGGGAGATGGGAAACACAGGTAACCAGGAGGATGACCCAAGGGAGAGTCTGTGGTACAGGAAGACCTTAGGACTAA